CAACGGAGCCACCCAGGCGTCCCTAGTTATAGTTTTCTTTTGAAAAGAGCCAAATAACTGATTTGAGAGGAGATGTATTCATTATACTCATGGTATCTATTGATACAGTGTGATGTTCTCTTGGTTTCTTTATGTCTCTCTTTCCTCCTTGTTTATATCCTTTCCCAGCTCCCTACTCCCTCTCCCCTTACAATTCATCCCCCTCCCCATTCTTTATTATTTTAACACAGAAAATTTAAAAAGATAGTAGTAGAACTTACTTCATAGAGTTGTCATGAAGATTAAATGAATTGGTATAAATCTTAGTCTGTATGGGCTACCATAACAAAAATACCATAGACAGAGTGGCTTAAACATGGAACACTTACTTCTCACAGTTCTGGAGGTTGAGAAATCCAAGATCAAGGCACCAGCAGATTTGGTGCCTGGTGAGGGTCCACCTCCTGGTTCATAAGATGGCTGTCTTTGCATTGTGTCATTGCTCGGCAGAAAGAAAGTGACAGACTCTGGAGTTCCTCTTTTTTTTTTTTTTTAAATATTTTATTTGACAGAAACACAGCGAGAGAGGGAACACAAGTAGGGGAGAGGGAGAAGCAGGCTTCCCGCCAAGCAGGGAGCCCCATGTGGGGCCCGATCCCAGGACCCCGGGATCATGACCTGGGCCGAAGGCAGACGCTTAACAACTGAGCCACCCGGGCGCCCCCTCTGGAGTCCCTCTTATAAGAGTACTATTTTTGCTCTTGAGACCTTCACCCTCATGTCTAATTACCTCCTAAAGGCCCCACCTCCCAATATTATCACATTGGGAGTTAGAATTTCAACACAGGAATTTTGGGTAGACACAAACATTCAGTGCATTGCAGTAGGTATATAAAGCTCTTAGAATGTTCCCTGGCACATGTTAAATGCTATATAGCTGTGTCTATATGTGTATCTTATTCTTACCATTACTTTACCATTTTTGTTTTCAGAATGTTCAGCCTGATAAAGAAATCGTTGTGGACATGATAATGTTCCTATGGCAGAAATGCAAATTAGGAATTCAGCGGATCAATATGCCCAGAAATGACTATGCAAAATTCACCCAGAAAATCAGTACTAATAAAGTACTCCTTTTTGTTTCCTTTCACTTGCTTTTTATTACTGCTAATTTAAGTTGTGATACACACTTCAAATCTAAATTTTCCCTATTTATCTACCTGCATAACTACCATTCTTTAAATGTGGTGCTGACTGAGCCTTTTTCTAAGTGTATTCTCTGCACTTCTGTGTTGTACATAGGGTACATGGGCTTGGTTTTTACCATGTACTCTGAAAAGGTAATGAAGTGAAAAAGTAATGTTGTTTCCTCATTTTAGTTCCCAAAGTGTGATGGCTAATTTCATGTGCTAAGCTTTGAAAGAGAGCTTTGAAGGCACCTAGCATGGAGCCTGAAACACCTGCCTCCCCTTCGCTGTTTTGTAAGACTTTGATAGTGATCACAACAGCTCCTTTGTGAGGGGAGAATGAGAACTTTGAGGATACTGATCATCTTTACTAATACGTTAAAAAAAGATGATAAATTTTCCATTATGGCTATAGATATGCAGATTGTAAGCTTAGGTGAATCTTCTTTATGAGTTTATAGAAACAGATTCATTAGGATCACTGATGTTTATAATTAAGATGTACTAATAAGGGGGTGTTTACCTGTCTAACATTTCCATATGTTTAGAAGATGATGACTTCAAGCAAGTCCTAAGTTTAAAAAAATATGACTCAACAATGTAATATTTTAATTGATTTTCTCTTTTTAGTGGGTTTATCTTCTGTGGCAGATAAATGAAGTAATTCACTGCTATAAAATGGAAGACATTGATGTTGTGGTGGTAGCAGAGGTCACGTTGCGATTAAGTGAAATATTGGAGTTATTAGGAAACCCACGAAGAAAATTTAAAAAATCTCTAGGTAATACAATGAATGAAAAAGTATGAAGTTACTAATATACGTATACACATATGAATGTGTAAGTATAAATTGGAATACAGGGGCACCTGGGTGGCTCAGTCGTTGGGCGTCTGCCTTCGGCTCAGGTCATGATCCCGGGGTCCTGGGATCGAGCCCCGCATTGGGCTCCCTGCTC